AATCTATACAATCACATTGCAAATATGATTGTAATGACTTTTTTGATTGCAAGTATTTAAGTACAAAGGTCCCTAAATCATTGGGGTTTGGCAATAGATTGTCTCGTTATCGGAGCGGCCCTTTTCTCCTCCAATATTATTTAATTGATACGATATTAAAAATAGAAGGCGATAATACTTTTTTATTTTTTACAATTTACTTCAAAAAATTAAATTATTTTTATACTTCGACTAAATCGACTTGAAGTCCACTTAGTCGATTTAAAAAATGTATTAATCGATTTTAATCGATATCGTCAAAAGTCGAATTATTTAATAACCGTAACACTAACACTAATAAAAGCGTTTGTTATTTCTTTAATGCAACAACGCGTTGCCACACCTCGTTGCAACGGAGAAAAAGTACCATATAACAGTTAGAGACCATTTTTTAAGAAAATTTCCTGAACAAAGTTTATTAAAATTTAACAATTTATTGATGATGTCGCTTGCTAAGTTTTATACTTTTTAAGTAAGGTGGCCATACGTACGCGTTTGGCGCGTACAGTAAGCGTTTGACGGTAGTTTTGCGCGTTTGGGGTTTGTACGCGTTTGTGTACGCGTTTTTATATGTAAAAAAAAGCAAATAAAATTCTTTCAAAAAATATTTGAAAGACTTTTAATAAATGAATTTTCTAAAAATATAGTTAAAAAACAAAATAAATAAAATTCCATGAAAACTCAACTATAAAACACGAAACTAAATGAATTAAATTCCCGTAAACATTTAAAAAAAATGTTTTTAAACTTCCCTTTAGAGAAGGAAAAAAATTACTTCGAAAGATTTTTCAACTATAACAAAGAAAATGCGCTCCTTTCACGCAAATTTTGTTTGTCTAGTTTGTCTAAATAAGGTCTTCCGATTTATTTTAATAAGAAGTTCATAAAAATAAGTATTCATAAAAAATTAATTTAAGGTTTTCATTACTATTTATACATCAAATTCAAAAAATGAATAGTAAGAAGAGAAGGTTAAACACATTTAATGATAATTTAAAGAAAACATTTCCTATCTGATAAGCTCCTTAAATGTACTATTTAAGGAGCTTATCAGAAGCTAGTCAAAAGTTTTCTTTAAATGCATTAGTGCTAACAATATTTCTTCAAAAGTTTTGGCTATTTCTGCAGTCAACACCAATAACAATTTCGGAGGTTTAAAACGAAACAGTAATAACAATATTCACAAAAAGTTACTCGTTAAGCTAAACCGTTTTATCAAACGCAATGAACACTGCATCTGGTTGTTTATCTATTTATGTGGAGATAATTATTCTTCAAATACATTTATTTTTTTACCGCTTCACTGTTCGAGTTTCTGGTTTAGAAAATTTCTGCAATGAGGCTGGTGTAGATTATCAAAAATTGCAAGTATTCTCAAAAGTTCGTTGGTTGGCCTTATTTCCAGCTATCGAAAGAGTGCTTAAGTTATATCAGCCACTAAGATTATACTTTTTAAGCTTAGAAAATGTCCGAAAAAAAACAAGTCTGAAACTTTTATTTGACTTTTCTAATAACGAAATGGGTGAAATAATATTGTTTTTTGTTCACAGTCATGCCAGTGTTTTTTATAACACGGTATAGTAAATTGAGAAAGATGATATTTCTACTGCTGAAGTTGCCGTAGTATTAAAGGATTTGAAAGACCAGATAAAATCTAGAAAAGAAGAAAAATTTCTACCTATTTTAGACAGCATTTGTAAGTTACCGAAAAAAGTAGTCACTATTTGAAAAACCAATTTCTGAAAGAAGTAGACATTTTTTACAGTGTCTGTCTACACTATATAGATGAGCGGACGCGTCACTTTAATCAGGTTCAAGTTTTTAAATGATCTTTACTTAACTGTAAAGTTGAATGAATTGAAATTATTGAAACTATAACTTTTTTGAAAAAATCAATAGAAATCACATTTAATGACAATGAATTGTTCGACGAAATTCAGAGATCTAATTTATATTGCACAAAGGAAAAGTTTTCTTCTTGGAACTCACAGTCTGTTGAATGTGACAAGCGATGGGTTGAAATTTTTTCTCATTTCGAAAATGATCACCTTCCTTATAACAATTTGTTAGAAGTGGAAGCCGCTTTATGTTTGCTAGGTACAAACGCTTCCGTAGAGCGATTATTTTTGATTGCCAATGATATTGCCAATATGGACGGAAGGGAAATCCCAACTTACAATGAAAACTTTGGCAGCTATTTTTTTGTTAAATTATATAGCTGCTCAGAACTTGCAAAAAAAATTGAAAAAGATGACATGTTGCTGAAAACAATTCATTCTTATGAAAAATATTTGTGATTTAAAAATGCAAATATTGTTTAATATTTTTTCCATTATTTAGTTTCTTCACATGCTATTTAAAAATAAATAAACGAGTTTTTAGTAAAACCCATTTAAACTAGACCCGTAGGCAGGGCGGGAGCGAGGGGGCACGTGCTCCCCTACGCTTTGTCCTGTTTGGCCACTATAAGATTGAAATTAAACATATATTCAAAAATTGTTAGTACAACACAAAAATGGGTAAGGCGAAACCGATTTGAAAATATAAGAAATATATTCATTTTATTAAATCTATGCAAAAATCTTATCAAAAAATAGGTGAATATAGACGCTAAAAAAAATTCCCTTTAGGCGCTTTTATTTTTACCTTAATTTTGGCGCCTTTTGAAAAATTGCTCCCCTTTAAAGAAATAGTATTTAAATCAGGCTACGGGCCTGATTTAATTACCATTTGTATTTATACATACCAAATTTATTCCATGTGCGCGCCTGGTATTTTTCAAATATGGTAATCTTATTTTAATGTCTTCTTTTGGTAATGCTTTTTGGTGTGAAGTTTTTTAACAATTTTTAAAATTTAAATTTTATTTGACGTCTGATTACAATCTGTGCGAAACAGATTAAAATATCCTAAAAGAAGAAAAGCATCTATCATCTTAAAATGCCGCTCTATTTTAAGTGTTTACCATAACTAAGGAAAACGTTGAAACGTTTTTTAAAAAAGCTCCTCAGCAGAGTGTACAAATGTTTATGTGTTTATAAATTACATTTATACATAATAACATACAATCTACATATCTGAATAAATATAATTAAAATTCTTGGTTGTACCACAGTTTTTATGTTCATCTGATTTAAAAAAATAATAAAGAGTAATAAATAGTATATCAAAATAATCATAATAGTTAATGAAATTGAAAAAAATAATTTATGTAAGTATTCGTTAAAGTAATAAAAAATAAAAACAATAATAAAAAAAAGTTTCTGATTCAAATATATTAATGAATTTGAATAAAATAAATATTCTCACTTAGAAGCTAAAATTCATTTTATGTTATAAATATCGCACTTGAGAATAAAAAAAAAAAACTTCTCATCTAATTACAAATGGAAACGAGATGGAGAATTAAACATCTATAACATCTATAACACTGCATTGCAAAATCAATTTCCATGGATATAAACGAATACTTTGTAACTGAATTAATGATCTATTGTATAGAAAGCATCAAAATCTATTGTTTAATAAAGTATAACAATGCTGGGTCGGGAAAGACGCAGAAGTACATCCGAAAGTAGTGGGCTTGACCAAACTCTGTGTCCTGATGTGTACGATAATTATTCTATATTAATGTACGAAACTCAAGATGCATTTAAACACAGTGAAAAGCTTTTACGAAAACTAAAGTCATGCGAGGAGCAACTTCGCGTCGCTAATGACAAATGTAAGCAACTACTAGAAGAAAAGAGTGATCTAGAAAAAAGCATCATATCTTTCGCGAAAAATAGTAACGAGAGAGAAGATCAACTTACTAGAAAGATTTTAAAAACAGAAGAAGAGTTAAGTAAAATTTCAAAAAGAAACGAATGGCTCGAAAAGCAATTTAAAGTTAGGGAAGAAAGTAGAGTCAACTTAAAAGAAACGACCTCTTCCATAGAAATAGTAAAAAATCTTAAAGCAGAACTATCCGCTACGAATACTCAATCAATTAACAAACCAAATTCTTTAAAAAAATATAAACGAGATGACTCATCAAACTCAATGTCTGTTGACGACTACGACTTATCTCAAGAAAAGCAAGAAGAGGATTTTCAAACGGAACAGAAAAAAAAAAAGTGAGTATTTGAAGTTTATTAATAAAACTTTTAATTTGAAAAATTTAAACTCTGCACGACAAAGTTGTTTGTAATTTTGTTGTATTGCTTTCTTAGGCACAACTGTAGTTTCTTCAGATACTTCGATAGTTAGCAACGAAATAAAAAATATTATTTTAAAAATAAAATCAGTTCAAAGAGAGAACGATACAAAACTGCAGACGATAGTTAAAAATTGTTGCGCAATACTTAAAGAAAACGGTTCTTTATTGAAGTCTCTTTACGACGAAAACAACACAGCAACAATGAAGATTGAAAAGTGGATCAACGGCTACATGATTCTTAAAAGAAAAAAAGACGAGGAAAGCGAACTTAGCAAAAGAGAACATGCGCGATCTACAGAGGTCGAAATCGAAAATAGAAATCAAATTAAATATTTATGTGAAATGATCCAGCAACTTAATGCCGAGGTTGGAATTGAAAGAGCCCAAACGCAAAATTACAAAACATCTTTAACACAAATTTACAAAAATCTCGAAGAAATAGATAAAAGATTTGAAAATATATCTCACGTAGCCATAGAAAAGCTTTCCAAAGCCGAGACAAAAGTACAAAACATGATTTTAAAGTGCAGTCAAATTAAAAGCAGTCCACCCTTTCCCAAAAAAAATAAAAGATTGTCTAAAACCTTGTTTAAACTGAAACGGAGAATTAGCGATTCTAAAGAAAGAATGAGCGATTCTAAAGAAAAAATAAGCGATTCAAAAGATAAACTTAGTGATTCAAAAGAAAAAATAAGCGACTCCAAAGAAAAGATATGACGTATATAAAAAAAAAATATTAGAAAAACAATCTTAAAGGACGTACCTAAAAATACGTTGTTGCTGAGCTGGGTACTTGGAACCTGGCTGTGGTGGTTCCTATGAGTACTCTCTGAGAGCTTCTCTCTCTCTGGAACCTAAGAGATGTTATACAACTTTTATTTACTTTTGAAATGTATTTAAATGGAAAAAAGAATTATGAAAAGTATGAATTGAGATATTTATTAAAAAAATATTAACTTTATATCTTATTAAAAAGAATAACAATAAAAAAAAAAAAGATTAAAATGCGGAATTAAATATTAGGCATGTAGGGTTTGGTATGCATTGCATATCAAACATATTTTATTAAAAATAGTCCCAATTATACAAAACTAAACTAATGTTAAAAACAACTCATGTTATGTAATGTAATGTTAACAAAACTTATGTTATTCATATAATGTTAACAAAACTCATGTTATTCACTCCTAATCTTAACAAAGCAGATTTAAATATCTTTTGTTCAACAATGCTTTATCATAGGAGGACTAATAAAATCTTTTTTGTATAGTTATTTATTTTAGGAGGACTAATACAATCTTTTTTATATAGTTATTTATCTTACGAGAACTAATGCAATCTTTTTTTGTGCGGTGTTTCTTGACTTCGAAAATAAACAAATGATCATTTAAAGTTAAAACTTTATTTAAATTTAAAACTAGATCAAAATTTTTCAAAAAAATTAAACTAGACTTAAATCCATCATAGAGTAGCTAAAATTTGGTGGGTTGATTTATAATATATATTATAGGTAAAAATTCTATACCAATGAGAAACGCAAATTTTAGATTTTATGATACACGAGTTATGGTTATTTAAAAGTTCTGAATTTTCTTATTATTATAACCTTCTGTTGTTAATACTTTGAAGATCTATATTTTTAAAGTGAAACAACAAAAAATAATCTATTTTATAGCAACACCATAATGCAAAACTTTTAGCAATAAGAATAGCAGAGATCTCAAAATACAATATTTAAAACATTTAGTAAGAAATAAACATAAATGTGTAAAAGACTAGTATCAAAAAAAATTAAACTAATGTATAAAAAGCTGTAAAATATATAAGTAATCAATTATTAAAACAAAAAAAAAAACTAATGCAAAACATAAAAACTGTTTAAACAGCAACATTTTTTAAAGATTTTTTTTGAAGAAGATTTTTTGAAGAAGAAGATTTTTAGAAGTAGAAGATTTTAAAGATTTGTTAAATGGGTTGAGAATACTTCATATAAATCTGCTTTTAAACAATTTATATAAATCTGCTTTTAAAATCACAATATAATCACTTTGCACAACAAAACATGTTCTTATCTTTTTTTAAACATATTATGGCCAATTGTTATTGGCTCAGTTTTCTAACAAGTATAATAAACAAATATAACTGATTGACTTTTTTTAGGTTAATTAAACTGTTATTTTAAAGATCTTTCATATTAGTTTCTCTCTATATTATTATCCATCTCTACATTACTCTTTACATTATTTATGTTTGACTAAACAAATTGAGAATTTAAGCTGCCTAGATGCGATAACTGCCCAGGCATCAGCACACTGAAAAAGTACCTTACTAATTTGTTTGATAAGCATAGTGTTTAAGCAACCAATGATAAAAAGCTAAAAAAAATAAAAATTTAGTTCCAGTAAGTCTTCCAGTAATTTATTTCATTGATCTTATCAATACAGCTAAGAAAATGTATGAACAGTGTAGAAAAAAGTATTTAAGAAACAAATTTTTTATGTACTGAATTGATGCAACTTGTCTTGCAAAAAAAACCCAGCAATTTGTTCTACAAGTTAATGTGCTATGTTACTTATTTTCAGAATTAATATTAGGTAAAAAATGCCCTACCTTTGTGCTTAGCGGCATCCACATAGTGATGTTAAATAATCTTTAATTTTATAATCACTCAAGGTTAAAACTTAAATCTGGAGCCAATAACTTATTCATCAGTTTAAAAAACAAAAAATACCATTTTTTTACAACAACAAACCACTTTACAGATGAAAAGAATTTTATTCAATACTCTTCTACTGTTTCAAAAATGCAGTAAAAATTGTTGAAAGATCTGAAGAAAACCGAGATATCCTTGTATTTTTTTATACACTTCAAGCCCAAGAAGTGATAGTAAAGAATCTGACAAAATCAAAGAAAAAATGCATTGATTACTTCCAAACAGTTAACCTTTACACTGAATTAGACCCACATCTTCTTCCTAGAATAGATGATATGATAAATAAACTTGCAAAATACAAAGTAATTTCTGCCTTTGACTTTAAAAGTGCTTACCACCAAATTCCTACAGAAGATTCAGAAAAAATATACAGCATTTGAAGTTAATGGTAAATTGTTCCAATTTTGCAGGATTCCATTTGGATTAACTAATGATATGTCTATGTTCCAAAGATCTATGGACAAATTTGTTAAAAAAATTTTATGATACTTTTCCATACCTATATAACAGGTATTGGTGGCTATGATCAGGCAAATCATGATGAAAATCGCTTATGGTTTGTTGTTGAATGTGATGCATCAGAGCAGTATCAGCTAACTTTAAGCAAAATAGTCGCCTAGTTGCTTTTATGCTTTGGACATTAAACAGGAGTGAAATTATTTACCCAAAAGTAGAAAAAGAAGCTTTGGCTATTATTAATCACTGATCAGCATTCTGTATCTTTCATTTTTGGATAACCGAAAGAAAAAAAGAGATTAAAATTAGTAAGATTTGGTGCAGAAGAATGGAGATAGCAAAGTTTAATTACACAGGAGTCATTTGTATGCTTCACTTTGTTAAATCTAAAAACTTACCATTTTTTACAGAGGAGGTCAAGAAAGTTTGTTCCAACTGCCATATTTGTTCAGAATTAAATAATCAGAATTAAAGAATCAGAAAGTTTTATCGATCTGCAAATGTCAGTGAGTTAATCAAATGATACGTCTAACGGATCATCTCAGTATAGATTTAAAAGGATCATCGCCTTCTAATTCTAGAAATAAATATATACTTACAGTTATTGATGAATACATAACAATGGCTGTGAAATTTTCAGATCAAAATATTCTCTTTTTGTAGTTTTCCAACTTACATTCATTCTGACAGAGGCTTGTTATTCATATCTAATGAATTAAAATCTTGCTTTATACAACAAAATTGCAACAAATAACTCCACTCCATATCATTTTTTCAGTAATAGACAAGCTGAGAGACATAATGATTTGAGAAATATTTGTTAAGCACTAAAAACCCATAACTTAGATGTTAGAAATTGAAAAACTGTTCTATCTGATCCCCTTCACTCTGTTTGATAGCAGCTATCAACTGCAACTAATTGTACACCCTATGAGAGATTATTCAGTTTTCCCCAGCGCTCATCATGTGGAACTTTATTGGTTATCTCCTAGTCCTATTTTTCTAATGGGACCAGGAGTTAACCCTAATGGTTATCTCTTGGTCCCATTTTTCTAAGATGTTTGTACAAAATAACAAAAACAATAATCTTGTTGATAAGGTTGAATTAGTGGATGTAAATCCAACATATAGTAATATTTGTTACCCAGATGAACAAGAACCACCTGTTTCACTTCAAGATCTTGAACCATATTCTGCCCGAAAAGAAAAGTCTTGTATTATTGATGAGAATAATATTAAGGAATCTTACAAAGATGTAACTGCTGAAGTAATTGATGTATATAACAGTCCATCACCTGAAATTAAATCTGAAATAAAAATTAAAGTAAATAACTCAATAAATGATCCATCTACTGACGTTCTGTGATGCTCTAATAGAACTTGCAAAGTTTCCATAAAATATGATGACTTTATATTAAAATAATGAAACTAGATTATTGACTTTTGAATATAGACGGGAAGATTATTGTGATTTTTTGTGTTTATATTGTTATTTATTTTGCTATTTATGTTATATACATTTCAACTCTTCTATCTTTAGATGAGTATATTATTGTTGAATAAAGCCTTTATCAAAAGGTCTTTATTTTATGAGTTAATCACATAATATTAATTACATTGTATGAATACATTCTGGATACAAACCAAGAAATTTATGATTAGTTGATACTAGCTGTATGCTTAATTAAAACATAATGATAAACTAATAAACTTGGTTCCTACTCTCAGATATTGAAAAAAACTACTCTCGACGTTGGAAAAAACTACTTTCAATGTTGGAAAAAACTACTTTCAGATATTGAAAAAAACTACTTTCAATGTTGAAAAAAACTACTTTCAATGTTGGAAAAAACTACTTTCAGATATTGAAAAAAACTACTTTCAATGTTGGAAAAAACTACTTTCAGATATTGAAAAAAACTTTCAATGTTGGAAAAAACTACTTTCAGATATTGAAAAAAACTACTTTCAATGTTGGAAAAAACTACTTTCAGATATTGAAAAAAACTACTCTCAGATGTTGAAAAAAACTACTCTCAGATGTTAAAAAAAACTACTCTCAGATGTTGAAAAAACTACTCTCAGATGTTGAAAAAATGGAGGGTTAGAATAGTCAAAGAAATTTAAAAAATCATAAAAAGAAATAGCCCTGTTTAAAGTGGTAAGTGGTGGAAAAAATGAAAGTAAAATCAGTTTCATAACATTTTTACTAAACTTTAAATAAGAAACTTATGCTTAGGTAGTCTTTTTACTATCTATGTATTTCTACACTTCATGGACTAGCTTTTTACTGTCTATGTATTTCTAAACTTCATGGACTTTATATGGGTATATGCAAAAACCTCACTTCAAAAACACTTTGTGCATAAAATTAGATGTTCCATATGAGATAATGTTTAATTACTAATTAAAATAATCAAGAGTAAATAAAAACTTTGCTTTTTTTTATTAAAAGCTGTTTAATAAAAAAGCAGAGTTTTTATTTTCTCTTGATTAGTTCAATTAGACTCTACCTCTAGAGGTAGGGGAAATATAAATATTTCAAGCAAAAATTTTTGCCAAAGTGCATTTAAGAATGTCCTTGATTGAAGGCATTTTATTTAGGTATTTTTTATTAACTTTTGTTTTGTTTTTTTGTTTGTAGTATTGCTTTGTAGTTTCTTAGTATTACAAAATATAATAATAGCTAAAGTGCATTCATAACATTATTATCTTCAAACTTTTATTTTCTCCTTCATTTCTCTTTCATTTTGCAACTTCCGCATTCTATTAAGTTCAAGATGAACTACTTTAAGATTTTTTGTTTCAAAGCACTAAATTTTCAAAATTTAGTTAGCTGCCATATATAGAAAATAAAAAAAAGTTTTCAGGCAAAACTTTCAGATTTTTTTTCTTTTTGGTATTTATAATTAAAATTTCTTCAAAATTGTGTCAACATCTCCAGTGACCGATCCAGAATTTTTGATGGGGGAGGGTGTGTGAGATATTGATACCAAAACTAAAGGTGGGGGAATGCATATCCCCATACCCCCTGGATCTGTCACTGAACACCTCATAAAAAAAAAAAAAAAAAAAAAGGAATACAAAAAATCATTTATGAATTTTTAACATAAAATAAAAAAATTAATTTTTTCACAGCTTAATGATTTTGCTTGTTTTTTTGTTTTAAAGATGTTTTTACATTATTTTTTTTTTTGTAGTTGTTGATAACATTAAAGACCCATTCAATCTTCAGGGTCATGTTACACCCATCCAAGCACCCCTGAAATATTTTTTAAAAACCCCTTTCTTAAATTCAAGGTTATTTTACTTTATAGAATACATATAGAGTAAAATAAAATAATAATAAACATTTATAAGCAATAAAAATAGAAATAGCTTCTTTAAAAATTCTTGAAGTTGTAAGCAATAGTAGTGATTTTTAGTTTAGGCTGTGCTTTCAACTTTTTTCTTTACCAAAACTGATCAACATTCTGATAAACAGTTTCAAGAGCTTTGGTACCGTTTGTCAACAATTTTTTTCAACATCTGAGAGTAGTTTTTTTCAACATCTGAGAGTAGTTTTTTTCAACATTGAGGGTAGTTTTTTTCAATATCTGAGAGTAGTTTCTTTCAACATTTGAGAGTAGTTTTTTTCAACATTGAGACTAATTTTTTTCAATATCTGAGAGTAGGAATCAAGTTTATTAGTTTTTCATTACGTTTAAATTAAGAATACAGCTAGTATCTAACCTCCCCCCCCCTTTATTTGCTAACGAGTTTCTTTTTTTTTTAATGAGTTTATTTCTTTGGTTCAGTAACCTGAGCCTAAAGAATTAAATAATCATTGTAATTTATTCTAGTTTTACAATGCAGAAGTTGAAAGACCTGCTGCTTTTTAATTAAACAATTTATAAAAAAGATGCTACCTTGCTTGTAAATGAACTTGAGGATGTGACACTCAACTATGTATGTACACTCAAATATGTACATTTTCAAGAAAATATGGCACTAAAATCATTATTGCTCATCAAAAACTCTTCCAAACAAAACAGTTTTTCTTAAAATACTTTTTATTTAATTTTTGGATATTATAATTTTTTAATTTAAATACAGCGTTATGGAAGAGTTTACAACTGGATACACTATTCGGCATTAATCTGTTATAATAATAATAAATAAGGCCTAAGTAATTTTATTGTGAAAATACCACTAGATTGATATTGAAGATAAGATAAACAACTACAGAGTTTGGACCAGATGAGGTTGTTTAGTTGTGGTAAAGGCTACAATGAAGAAAATAAACTATGATAAAAATTGCTCTGCTTTCAAAGTCTTGGTTGGGTAAAGACTAAAGATGGTTTCTTAATAAAAATGCTTATCTTGAGCAGGTGTTCATTGCACTCATTAACTGTCTTTTAAAAGGCCTTTTAAGCAAAGATTTTAGGGCTACACTGAAAAGCTTTTAAAGATTTTTTTTTTTAAACATCTTCACTTCCAGCAAGGCCGCAAGCAACCACTATAAGAGGTGGAAGTTACTGGAAAAGAAAAGATAAAGTTTATAAAACAAAATAACAACTAACAGACAACTTAAAAGATTGCAAATTGTATGAATCAGAAAAACAAGACAAAGAGAGCAAGTTCCAAACTGATGTTTGAGGAAAAAAACTAGACCAATAAGAATTTTCGGAGTACTTAGGGACAGTCACAGTAAAAGGACAAGAGAACAGTCACAGTAAAAGGATGAATTGAATGATGAGTAATACAAAAATGAATTTTAGTAGTAGTATATATATATATATATATATATATATATATATATATATATATATATATATATATATATATATGTATATATATAAATGAAGAAGAGTGCTGCTCATTGAGGACAACCTCTATACTATGAAACAAGGTATTATAAAGATATCTATGCCAGCCTAATAGACGAAGAAGGGGTGCTTAGCAGTTCAAGAAATAGAATCTGTTTACCCCTTGTGTTTTTGACTAGAAGGCTACAAGACAGTAGCTAGATACATTTAATGTCTACCTAAGATGAGTATTTTTATTGAGACTTAATATCCCAAACTTTTGAATGAATTAATGAACTCACTAATTTTGTTATGAATGAATTTGAAAAAAAAAATGAATTAAAAAAAATTAAAATATATAATAAAACATGTCTAACTTAAAAAAACAAATAATTACTATATATAAAATATGCTTAATAATTAAACTCATATTGAACAAATTTCATTAAGACTCTCATAACTCAGTTATGAGACTCTTAATGAAATTAGCTTTAGTTGATTTTTAAGATCCATAAAAGAGTTAACGGTTTTTTAGAAAAAAAATGAAAATTTAAAGACCAGAATTTTTTTAGGAATTTTCAATTCGCGATCATTTAATTTGCCCCTTGTATATATATATATATATATATATATATATATATATATATATATATATATATATATATATATATATATATATATATACATATATATATATATATATATATATATATATATATATATATATATATATATATATATATATATATATATATATATATTTCTTGAGCAACGTAATAGCAATGAATGTGAACATATTTTAAAGAAAAACATGATATTTTTTAATCTTGACATGTTTCGTAGTTAACATTTTCAAAAGATAAAATTACAATTTAAAACTCTCGATATAAATATAAATTCAAAATTTGAAGACATTACAGAGAAATATTAACAGACAAATAGAATTGTTATAAACCAATAAAAATTATAATACAAATTATTATACCGTAATAGCATTAAAAAAAAAATAATAATAAAAAAAAAAAAAATTGATTGACAAATTTAAATTATAATGAACAGTTTGTTTATTTAAAGATCTTCTTTAATTTATAATTTGCTTTAGTTAAAAGCAGTATCCAAAATTTTAAATTAATTACTGTTACTTAGATTTTTACAATCAACAGATGAAATTAAATGTTTATAAACATTAGATTGTTTGTCACTTGTAAGATGCTCATAAATCCTTGTTGTTAAGTGTTTGGAGGTTTCTCCAATATAGCTGGCATTACATCCAGCACAAGAAAGTTTGTAAACAACATTGGATTTGAGCAGCTTAGGAAGTGGATCTTTTATACATAAACTGTTATGTAATTTGTTGGAAGTGAAAATTAACATCTTTACAATATTTTTTAATGATTTTATTAACTTTAGATTTAGTAAAATTTGAGTAAAATCCTATAAATGGAAGTTTATAATAGCTTATATTAGGGTTATCAATTCTATTTATCACAGATGGATTTAACTTTTTATTAACAAATAATTTAATTTCAGTGTCGATTATTTTAGGTGGATATTGGTTATTTTTTAAAATACTAAATAGATTTTTTATGTCCTTATCAAATCCTAGCCATGTGTTATTGATTTTATACGTTCTATCAATTAAACAACGTATAAGACTAATTTTATAACAAAAGGGAACAAAACTGAAAAAATTTTGTAAAAGACCTGTATATGTTTTTTTGTAATAAACTGATGTGGAAAGCGAAACAGACTTATTGATAAGAATATCTAAAAATGCAATTTGATTATTATGTTCTTTTTCCATAGTAAATTTTAAGTTTTTATGTTGTTTATTAAGATGTGTAAAAAATTCCTGAGCTTCAAACTTTTCAAAATCTATTTAATATTTTAAAAAATAACCAATATCCACCTAAAATAATCGACAGCGTTTAGAAAGAAACAATTTGATTATCTCAAAAAACTTTCCCAGATACAGATTCTCCATAAGCTTGTTTCAGATATGAAACAAGCTTATGGAGAAGACCAGCATGTCAAGAACAACAGCCCTAGCCTTTCCAACTAATGCATGATAAAATTTTTTACTCACAGCAGTTAGCAAGTCAGTCATAGAGCAAGACGGTCAAAAACCATATTGTTTGTTTAACAATAAGTTATTTGACTTAAGATAGGATGTGAGAAATTTTTTTATTAAAGACTCAATATTAATATAAGTACATTTTATAAATTAATTACTATTCACTTTATAATATTAAATCTACTTTACATTAGAATAACATAAAAAAGTAAACAAATTCATATAGTAAAAAATGTTAAGTTTACCTTTTTATTGACTTCATTATTTAAATCTTTATAAACATCATTATTATATATTCCAAGCAAGTACTCGCTTTGAAGGCGTTGCTCAGCAAGTAAATGCTGAATTCTTTCACGAAAAGAACGTATTTCATTGTCAACTTTTCTTTTTGTATCATCCTCTTAAAATAAAATTTCTGTAAATTAATGATTTTTTATATCTAATGCTTTAAGAACTGATGAAAATTTATTTTAATGTAATTTTTTTTTGTTTAAAAAATATTTAAAACAATAAACTATTTAAAAACCCTTACGAATTTCATTCCAGACCATTAGGGAGTTTTCTGTTTCGTGTGAAGTATAAGAGTGTTCAGAAAATATCCACATTGTCCCATCATCCTCACAAGGTACTTGTTGATTATAACTCATGACTTCTTATTATAATATCATTTATATTTATAATAAGCATTCATACATTATTCATTATAATATAATTACAACTGTATTCATTATGTAAATAGTTACTTTATTATAATTGTTATTAGTAGTTTTATTTATTTTTACTATTACTATTTTCGTCGTTGTATATACTTATGTTGACAACATTATATACAAGATTGTTGTATCTTTAGGTATTTACTTTAATATTAGTACTTGTAAATTTTCTTAAAATGTTTCATTTTATTTCAAAATATATTTGATTTGATCTAAACAATCAATCAATAAATTTCTGAAATAAAATTCTTGTAAATTTGGTTAATTAAAGTGCTACATTAACACCAAATACTTTTTTTTATTATTAAAAAGGTTTTCTTAAATAACAACAAATATGCTTTCATTACACACACACACACACACACACACACACACACACACACACACACACACACACACACACACACACACACACACACACACACACACACACACACACACACACACACACACACACATACACACACACACACACACACACACACGCACACACGCACGCACACAAGCTCAATCACTCACACCCACACAATACACTTGTTGAAAGTTTGAGGACACCAATAGATACTGATAGATATATTATTTAAGATAATTGTGTTAAGAACGCAAGGCAAAACTTTCAATTTTTTTTGTTTGCTTGTTTGTTTTAATTCCACAGTTCAGTAACCTAACTTCAGGCATCTTTACGTAATCTTTTTTAAAAAGTTGAATTGTTTAGGCCCAATTTGGTGTGCGAAGATCTGTTTTAAATAAAAATCTAGCTGCTTGTTTTCAGAGAAATATCAAATAAAAAAGACTTTTTTTATTTAAAATATTAAAACATATTATAAATAATTTTTTTTTTAATAGGATGAGAATGATTAGCAACATGCTGAAAGGTAAGTCACATTAGATTGGCGTTAGATTAAATTTAAAAGTGGTAAACTTGTAACATGATTATAAAGAGTGTAAAACTTTTTATTTGGTTACCAGGATACTGCGTTTTGTTCCATAATGGCACAGTCTGTTGGAAACGCTGACCGATTCTATCGTTTTTTGATCTGTGGGAACCATGCACAAGTTTTATAAAATGTCAACTAGTGTAAGTAATGGTAGTACTAAGCTGTAGTCTCGATTTAGTTAAGATTTATAAGTTATATGGATAGTAGTCTTTAACATTTTAAAAATATTAAATTAAGTCTTATCTAGAGTAAAAACTTGCTTTATAAGCAGGAGATCCAGATTCAAAACGAGCTTTGGACATATTTTCGCGTCACGGTAAAGAAGGAGGCGTGAACTTCATCGCTAAACGCACTTCCGCGGTGCTCTATGACAATACCGTTAGGTCTTCTTGGGGCACCTAAAAAACAAACAAACAAAAAAAAAACTTTTTTTGATTTACTTTGCTAGAAAATACTTTGCTATTAATTCTGTTAACTGAATTTATATACCGATTAAAATGAAAAATATTGCAACAAGAAGTAACAAATTAATAAATAAATAAACCATAAACTCGTAAACAAATAAATCAAAATCAATAAACTTCTTTAGAAATCTCCAAGCAGTTGACGAATTTTATCATACAAAGTTGTTTTCATGTTTGTGTTTGTACTTGTTTTTAATAATCAACAATAAATTATCTTTTAGAAATTTTCATTACATAAGATTGACTGCTCAGTAGTCGTAGGAGCAGTTCGTAACAATGCATAAAAAAATCCTGGATGATTGTATCATCCTTGCAAATAGTTTAGCAAAACTTACCTATATTTCTTTGACGGAAAATAAGAAAGTATTACCGGTTTGGAAATAGATACAATGATGGAACAACTGCTATATTAATTAATACAGCAGCTATTCTATCATAGTCGATTTCGCCGACAGTTGAATTACTTAGTTGTCGTAACAACACTAATGACCCATCTTTTCCGCTAGAAACGTTATAAAAGATTATAAACCTACCAACTTTTTTAGGCTTTATGTTAGTATGTAAGAAAATACTATATATTAATTTTATCAGATATATGTTAGTATATAAGAAAAAAAAAAGACTATTAATTATGCTGTTAAAGAGTAGTTAATATTGTGTTGAATGATAATGATGTGATTGGAGAAGGTTTAATTGTTGCTGCGGTTCAGTTTTGTCAAAGATAAAGTTTTCTGGTAAACTTTCTCTACATTAATAATTTGATAGCCCAATTTTGCACATTTTTTTTAATTAGTTATTTCGATGCTCTCAGAAGTCCTAACAGTCTTATCATAGAGCACTGCAAAGTATCATTTAATCAGAAAGTTTGCACTTCTATGTTAGTAATAAACAAAACTTCTATCCTTACTAGCACTCTAAAAAAAGGTATCTGAGGTTCGGTGTAGTTAAGGCGATTTACAAATTATTCGAATTCTTTTATTTTGAAAATAACATGATTTTATCAGCGTATTATCTACTACTATCAAGGCATGCTATCGGAAAAATCTTCCCACCTTTTGCGGTGTGGTAAAGCTAGTTAACGGTCGTTTTTAAAAATTTTTTTTTTTGTGTGTGAAAGTGTTTGTATAAAAGAACATTTTGGCAGAAAAAAATAATTAAAAATATTATTTAGTTTCAAAATGTCAACCGAGCAAACTAAACAAAGATTTTTGATTGTGGACAAACACTTAAAAAATCCAACTTTATCGAATAGAAAGTTGGCGAAACCATTAAAAATATCAAAAAGAACTATAGATAATGTTCTTAAACGGTTTACAGAACAGAAAACTATTCAGAGAAAACAAGGAAGTGGTCGAAAAAAACGCACAACAAATCCTAGAGCTCTCGAACGGTTGGAGACTTTATTAAAAGAACATCCTGATTGGTCTGATAGATTTCGAGCAAAAAAACTGAAGGTTTCCAATTTTTTTGTACACAAATGGCAACAGAGACTTGGATATCAATGTTTTAAAGTAGTTAAAATGCCAAGTTGCAACGATAAACAAAATTCAACCGCAAAGAGTCGAGCTCGACTCTTATATATTATTTATATATTTTTTAAAATATTAAATAGATAGAAAAATAAGCTCGCATATTTTTCCTAAAAGAATTATTACAAACAACGCTGATATCAACGCTGACATCTGATTCATTTTAAAAATATTTACAACCTTCTAATAACGCTGTCATGCTTGATAATGAATTTACCTATAAAGAATTTGAAGAAGCATTTTTTTCTTTAAAAAAAATAAGGCCCCCGGGTTTGATGAAATATCTAGTGATTTAGTTATTTCAAACAAAAACAGCCTAGGCAAACCTCTGACCCATACCCTAAAGCTCTCAATATCTACTGGAATTTTTCCTGACGTACTTAAGTTAGCAAAAATAATTCCTATATACAAAAATAATGATCATTCAGACATTACTAACTATAGATCTATATCAATACTTTCTGTATTTTCAAAACTTTTCGAACGTGTAATTTATAATAGAATCTATGTAATTTAAATATGATTATTTTACTACAAACAATTTATTTTTAAAAATTCAGTTTGGATTTTGAAAAAATCTTTCACGCAATACTTGGAATAGTTAATCAAATAATTGATGGTTTTGAACATAACAAACTTACCTTAGGAGTATTTATTGACTTATCAAAAACATTTGATACAGTGGATCATTGCATCCTTTTAAATAAACTAAAGCATTATGGGATAATTAATAAAACTTATTATTGGATTAAAAGTTATCTTACGAATAGAAAGCAATATGTGAATAATCCACGATCTGGAGTCAGTACCAGTTTAAACACTGGACACACTTGTTTCGTGCCGGGAGGCCATGGAGTTCAAGGGGCCAGAGCATTTAAGTGAATATTTGAGAGAGATATAATTTGAAAGAAAAATTATTATTGGTCTCTATCCTTGATTTTCTCTCATGTCCCAGAAAATTTTAATCTTTGCATAACAGCGCATACGACGTATTGCAAACTGGACGTTTAATTCTTTTAACGACTGGAACGAACTTTTGAGTTCAAACATAATGGTGAAAAAATAAATTAAAATAATTAATTAAAATAATTATTATAATAATTGGATACTTGACTCATTGCTCATTCTTATAGAATTATCATTCCGCGGTTCAGACGAAAAACTAGGATTGATACGCAACGGAAACTTTATTGGATGTATTGAGCTATTAGTAAAATTTGATCTTTTCCTCGCCCAACATTTGGTAACTCATGGAAACAAATGAAAAAATTGTATCTTATCTAAATAGATTTGCAAAGAAATTATTTACTTATTTACTTACTTATAGCCACCAAGGTTATGGAATTTATACGTAATACGATCATCCTTAAGTAACGTTCATCGTTGATTCTACTCCCAATCTACAAAACAGAAAACCAGTTGAGCGGCTCTTAGCATTTATTCCTATGCATAATCATTTTGCAACTTCCAAAACGTTTTGAAAAGGTTTGGTTAGTATAAAAAAGTTAGATTTGAAAAAGTTAGATTAGTAGGTTGAAAACGTTTTGAAAAAGTTAGATTAGTTTGCAATCAACATTCAAAATGGCTGTGGCCAGTCATACGACAATGCCAGTAATATGTCTGGTATCTACTTTGGTTTACAAGCAAGAATTAAAGAGATCAACGTTCTCGTCGAATAGATTCCGTGTGCTGCTCATTATTTGAACATTGTAGGAGTGAGTGCCGCGGAATCAAACGGAGCTGCTGTTATTTTTTTTAGCTTTCTTCAAAAAAATTATAACTTTTTTATAACGCATCAATGCATCTTAAAGTCAAAGTTCCTTGCTGGAATACGTATTAAGGTTCCCTAGACTCTCTCACAAACTCGCCAGCTCATACAGATGCTTATTAAATAATTAAAAAGGGTTATTTAAAAGGTTCTATTTAAAAGGTGATTAAAAATTATTTAGAAAATTGAATAAAAACATCTCTAATTTGTAGTTGTGCACACTTATTAACAAATATTTACTATATAGGCGGCTCTTCTTGATTTTAACGA